CACATAATAATTTAAACACTAACTGTATAAAACAAAGAAATAACATTGAAAGCCATGTGGGGCAAAGGTCAAGTAGCACATAAAGTTGACCTATCAAAATTACACCCAATTCCTCAACAGAGACTCAAAAAGCCAGAAGGGCCTGAGCATATAACTTGCAAACTCTAAGAGACCACAGATGTCATCCCAGACTACTATACCCAGAAAACTTTCAATCACCATAGATGGAGATAACAATATATACAATGACAACAACCAAGTTTAAACAACATCTATTCACAAATGCATCCCTACAGAACATACTAAAAAATTAGGATAATTGGGAATATTTATACCACAAGATTCAACTCCGGGCTTATACCCTAAAGTTGGCCCACCATACTACAAGTACAGTTGCTCATCTATGTTCAGAGCAGCTTTGTTTGTAATAGCCAGAAACTGGAAACCACCTAGATATCCCTCAACTGAAGAATGGATAAAGAAAATGTGGTACATTTACACAATGGAATACTACTCAGCTATTAAAAACAAAGACATCACGAAAATTGCAGCAAATGGATGGAACTAGAAAAGATCATCCTGAATGAGGTAACCCAGATCCAGAAAGACACACATAGTTTATACGTACTTTTAATTGGGCATTACCCTTATGATACAGGATAGCTGTGCTACATTCCACAGACCCAATGAAACTAGGTAACAAGGAGGGCTCAAAGGAGGATGCTTGACTCTCACTCAAAAGGGAAAATACAGTAGACATCTGAGATGGATGAAGGGAGGTATCTGCAAAGGAGAGGGGTGAAGAGGGAAACGAGGACAAAGATCAGGTGTGAAGAGAGGGGAGCAGAAAAAGGCTGTGAGAGGGTAGGAGATAAGTGTGGATCATCTCTCAGACAAGCGAGATACCTGGGACAGGGGAGACTTCTGAGGTTTGACCCTAGCTGACTTCTGAGAGTCTATAGGTTTGACCCTAGCTGAGACTACTAACAGCTGGGGATAAGAAGTCTGAAGTGTCTACCTCTTGTAGTCTTGTGGGACTTCCAGTGGAGGGAGCAAGACAATAGCCTACTGACAAAACCATTGACCCCAAATTAGCTTTGCCTAAAAGATATAGCAGCAGTTGGAGGAATGGGCAACCAATGACTGGCCCAACATGAGACCTACCCCATGGGAGAGAACTAATGCCTGGCTCTATTAATGATACTCTGCTTGCTTGCTGACAGGAGCCTAGCCCTAGCATAACTGTCTCCTGAGAGGAATCATCTAGAAGGGGATGAAAACAGATGCAGAGACCCACAACCAAGCATTAGGCAGAGCTCAGGGAGTCTTGTGGATGAGAACGTAGGATTGAGTGAACCACAGAGGTCACAGTCACCACAAGAAGACTTACAGAGTCATTTAATCTGGGCCCATGGCAGCTCACAGAGACTGACTCTCCAACCAAAGACCATGCAGGGACTAGACCTAGTCCCCATACACATTTGTAGTGGAGGTACAGTTTTGTCTACATCTCAGTCCCTGGTACCTGCCTTTGAATTCCCATCCTTAAACTGGCTGGCATTGTTGGGTCCCAGTGGGGGTATGCTCTTAGTTCTGCTGAGACTTGTTGTATCAGGCCAGGTTGTTACCCATAGGACACTTCCCCTCCTCTGAGGAGAAGGGGATGGGGGTAGGGGAGTAGGTTTGGAAGGAGAGGAGGAAGTCTGGAAGCAATTGGGATATAAAGTACATAAATAGATTATTGAAAAAAAAGAAACATGAAACCTGAATTTAGTATATCATTCTTGGCCAGTCCTGGTACAATAAGACAATATTATAGAAAAAAAATCTAATGAAAATGAATGAAATACAAACTTTAGGTACTAATATATTGACAATAACTAATTTCACTAATGTATCAAACTAAAGATATTAATTACAAAAGTTAATGAGGGATGTATGAGTCTTTATTATATTCACATTTCTACTGTAAATTAGATACTTTTCTACAGTTTGAAGTCTTTGGAGAAATAAAGAAAACCTGTGATGGTAGATACAGTGTCATCAAACAACTGATGCAAGGTAGAATCACTAACAATATAATAGACACATGATCCGACAGGAACAAACAGTAAACAGCCATTACTGGAAAAGCCAACTCCCCAAAATGCAATTTTGTGACAAAATACATAAAGACACATGCCTGCACATTAGGAAAGCTGAAAACTAAAGTGTAATTTACAGACAAATGTGAAATGTAAGCTTGTAGTAGACAGAGTGAATTTGGGTATAGCCTGCTGCATCTTCTGGTTTTGGAGGCTTCATAAGGACCATGCATGTAGGTATTTGTAAGTGTTTTGTGATTTATAATAAAAGTCTTAGGTATTTTAACCTCTTTTTGTGATAAGCATTCCTTGATCTTCTCCTTTCACTTGTGCAACGTTAAGTTTTTGCACCAGAGTTCTTTCTTGCTAAGCACGTAAAAAAATGTTTTTGTTTTCCTGGGTTAAAAGAGAAAATAAGTAGAAAACACAAAGGACACGGCCTACCTTATGCGTTTGTATTTTGTTTCTTTTGCTGCGGATTTCTTAAAAGTATTGTCTGTCCTCATTACTTCTGTTTTTTGTTTGTATTTCTTACTTTCAGTTTGCTGTAGTTAGTTTTATACATTTAATGCTCCTTCTGATTTAACTGGAGGCAACTTTTCCTGGCAGAACTCATGCAGCAAGAACGTCCGGGGCAATCACCTGCCTATGGCTCTTCTCCTAAGGGCAGGCCTTGGTTCTTTCCTATGCTATCCATGCGATAATTGTGATTGGGTTTATCTAGTTCAGGAATTGTGCAGGTATGTACAGCCGGTGTGTGTTATTTTGTGCCACTGTCACTCGAGCTCCAGAAGTCAGGATTTCACAACTTTCCTCCCTCCGTAGTCACCCGCTTTTGCATGCTTTCTGAACTTTGGTGAAAGGTTGCTGCAGATGTCACATCCACTTCAGAGTACTCGATGTCATTTATACTTGGCGCTTTGACCAGTTGAGTCTCTGCATTAGCCTCTATCTACTACAGAGAAGTGCTTCACTGAACCAAGGTGAGAGCAGCATATACGTAAGGGGTTTACACTAAATATTTAGAATGCAGTTTAATAACATGGGTGTTTCCAAAAAATAGTAGGTTTGAGGCTTCTGTTCTCTCCAGTCTTCTGGTTTTGACCAGGTTTTTAGTACCAGGGAAAAAGTCCCTCCGGAGGATCAGGACTCAGATACTGTTAGGAAGTGTTGAGGACTTTGTACCCATCATGCTGCTGTTGATCAGTGGACAGATATTGCCAGGCAGGTTAGAAACGTAGTCTGAAGGTTCCAGCACTGGATAAGATAATTGACATCTCCCCTTTGCTATGACATCCCATGGAAATAAACATAGATGTAACAGATGATAAAGAGTCTCTCATTCATTGGGCATCAAATTTAGAGTAGTAATTCTGGAAGTTAAGAGTAGGCTGACACTTTGAATATTGAGAGGAAGAAGTATATATTTAACCACTATGTGGAATTGTTTCTATTTATTAACTTTCACTCACCCAAACCAGGATGGACAATTGCCCTGTTGCTATTTCCACTCATTTTTAAATACCAGACGCCAGGATGGTCTTTGCATGCAATTCTTACAGTAACAAGCATTTAAACTCTCACATGTAAAAGAGAGAAAAAGAAATAGGGTTACAGCACCAAATTATTTATTTATCTTCTTTGATGTCATTAACCAACTTAGAAATGAATACATACCTCAATTTAATTTTAACGAAATTAAAATAACTTTTATTAGAAAAAAATCAGAAGATAGTAAGAAAGTAGAAGAAAGCTCTTCTCAGGTGTTAGTGCAATGCCACTAGAGGTTTTGTTCATATTGCAACTTAGCGATGTCTATAAATCTATGATTCAGTGTGTGATTTGCTTTCCCTGTTGTAATCTGCATTTAATACTTCCATTAGAGTTGTCAAGTCAGGGAGTTCTTGACAAGTTTTATATGGTTTGCTTTCTTATAAAAGAAAATGCAGCAGTTTCAGGTTAATTTTTCCTTCCTAATCTATCTCCCTAAGTTTCACAAGAGTGTTTCATGACTTTCTGTCAAAGAATTTTTACCATATTCTATTTAGATTTTTCTTTGTTTATTTGGTTTGGTTTAGGTGTTCTGAAAGAAGTTATTGCTATATAGCTAGCTGGCCTGTAATTCACTATGTAGACAAAGCTGATGTAAAAAACACAGGGATCTATATATTTCTGTCTCCTAAATGTCATGATTAAAGTTGCAATTTGACATACAGAAAGAAAAAGAAAAATCAAAAGATAGTAAGCCATTTAATTTCATTAATTAATAAATATTTATTTGACAATAGATACGATGCTAGTTCCCTGATAACTAAATATTTTCCAGGAGGAGGCATGACTTTGGCTATATCAATAAACATATGATGTGGCCAATATAGTAAACAATCAGATGTCTCCTATTTTATCATGCTACATTTGACCAATATGAAAGCTAATAAGATGAATATACTCATATGTAATAAAATAATATTTTTACTAGAATGACATAAGTCTATATGTTTCCTTCTCACAATAGAGATGTATCTCCTCTTTTTCAGACTCACTAAAAAGTACTTCGCATGTTCATAAAAGAATAACTTCTACCATTTACTCTAATTAAAGTAATTGTAAAGGTTTTTGAGGAGCAAGTATTCATTTTTTTTTTAGTTTAATGTCAAAACTTTGTAGGTTGAAATTATTTATAGAATGTTCAAGTGATGTATTATTGTCAGACTTAGCTGCAAATACCTTTACCCACAGAGCTATGTCACAAGCCCTTAACACAAAGATTCTTGATTATTTTAACAGGTGAAAATATATACCTTCACAATTTTTTCACTACCGATTATAAAGGTTTTGGCAAACCATAAAGACAAGGAACATTCTCTGCTCATGGAGCTTACAGTCAAACAAAACAAAACAAACAAACAAAACAAAACCGTGCTTTTGAAGACTGATAGACAAGGAAGAGAGTCTTCTTCTCAAAAATTCTGTTCTCCTTTGTGCCAAGGGCATAATGAAATTATAAGGAAGTTAGAGACAGAAAGTAAGTAGCATTAACATTCCTGAACAAACTGTCATTCATAAATGTTATAAGGATGCCTACTCAGAAAGCTCACAAAATACACGAATTTCTAATCTCAATGAGGTTTGGGGGGCCATGTTTAAATTAATATCCTTATTCAATACAATTAGTTAATGGAATCTTAGCAAGAAAGTTTATAGTAATTCATGAGCTGACATTAAAACTTACATGAAAATGCAAAGACCCAAGAGGGTGGAAACAAATTTTAAGAACAAAGGCTTACACTGTTAGATTTTGAGAGACGGTCTAAAGCTACAGGGTTATAATTGACATAGGGTGATGGCGATTTGGGGACAGGCATACAGTGAAACTAGGCACAGTTTCACACAGGAAATCAAATGGTGTAATGTAAGGGCTGATGTACAGTGAGGACAGAAGAATTGTTACATCAAAAGAAGCTAGAGGTGGGCATTTGTGTGGACACAAGCACAAATCTTGACTTGAACACATCAAATTCCAGAAATAATAATAAAAAATAGTTCTAAGAAATTCTGTAAGAAAACTGTTAGGAAAACTAGGTTGGTAGAGCCAAGAAAAATAACACAAAGAAGCAATAAAAATTAAAATTTATTTTTAAAAATTTATTTACTTTTTGTATGTGCATGGCGCTGTCCTTGAATATACTTCATTCATTCCTGGTGCCAGCAGTGTACATAATCACGTGTCTCATCTTCTAGATCTGGTGTTATGGTGGTCGTGAGCCACTGTGTATGTGCTGGAATGGCCCAGGTCTTCTACAAGAGCAACAACTGCTCTTAACCTGTTGGGTCATCTCCCTGAATCCACAAATTAAACTTTCTAAAGTTTAAGACTTTTCCTAGTAACAAATATTAAAAAGAAAATTAAATTCTGTAGCCAATGGAATTGCATATATGCCAAGGGACCTATAAACAGACCAAATGCAGGATTTTTGTAATCTAAGGAAATTAAAGTTTTCAACAAATTTTAAAATATTGGAAGAAAAACCACCGGAAAACAGGGAAAATAATAGGATAATCAACATCATTAATCATTAAAGGAATGCAAATTAAACACACATGTGGTATCTTATTGTTTGGTGACTCAAAATACCTACAATCTGAAGAAAGGCATCCTCTCTACTTTTCTGTTGGGAATGTAAATTAGCTAAAGCCTCAGGGAAAATATAATCAAATTGTATCTTATAAACTCATTCATGCGCTTACTATCAGATCATACAATTTCAATATCAGAAGCTTATTGATGTACAGGAAAATGTACAAATGTACATTAGTCTTTATGTTCAAAATAAAATTAAGCATAACGTCCATTACTTGACTAATCATGATATGCATTGTAGGACCTCACTGTAATGTAATGCTTTATAATCCTTCAAGTGAAAAAGAAAAGAATTTATTGTTGTGAAAGAAAGAATGCATCAAAAATCATGATATTAAAGGAAATAAACCAGACTCAAAAATTACCTAATATGTGTCTCCATGCCATGGAAGTCTGGAGAATAGAAAGAACAGATACTAGGAGTGCCCGTGAATGAGGACTTCTGGGAGGAGATAGACTCGAGAAGGATACCAAAAATTGTTCTTATAAGCTGACACACAGTTTCCATTCGAGTTGTACACATGCTGTGTGAACACCATCTAGTTAAAATGCATTTAAATATACAGGTAAATTTAGCAAGTGTCACTTGAAAAAATTATGCTGCAATAAGAATGAATAGAAAGAAGCCAACCCATATTCATGTAGGTGGCCGATTTCTGAGTCCTTGCTTGATTCAAATTCAAAATATTCACCTTTTTGTTCTCTACTTCTCCTGTATGCTTCTCTACCTCTTGGATGCTTCTCTATCTCCTGGATGCTTCTCTACCTCCTGGATGCTTCTCTACCTCCTGGATGCTTCTCCAGCTCCAAGTCTTTGGTGCATCAATTGGTTTCAAATTGTTTCTTTGTTTTGAGTTTGAAACCAAGAAAGTTTTATATTAATTCAGGATTTTAGCTGTAATAAGCAGTATTTTCATTAGTTCAATTAACCATGATATAAAAATAATTGTTCTATTTTATAGTCTATGAATATTTTAATTATATACAAATACATTCCAAAACACATATTAATTCTAAAAAAAAAGATGGATAACGGTCAATAAATATCAATTATAAAATAGATATATATGCTCTTTCCATACAATTAAATCCCTTAATTTTGGGAAATTACAGTGAAATAATTTAAATTCTTTTACAAACTTCTCTATAGATAGGATAATTGTATAGTAAGATTGAGCAATTATCTTTTTTAAATAACATATATCAGTGTTATATGTCATATAATAAATGTGTACATGTCAGACTACATAGATAAGTTACCCTCTAAAACTGGTAAACATAGAAAATCAGAAAACGTACCATAGTTTGTTCAGCTATTTCTCTGTTTGTAGCTCTTAGGTGTTTAGCAATTTGATAACTTACATTGCATATCAAGATAAATTCCGTTAGCTATCGACTTCAAACCCTCTTGTGAATATAAGCATAGCATCTTACAGAGAAGCTTATCACTTTTCCAGATACATTTCCTGCTATGTTTCAGATGCTGTGGTAATAGAGAAATGAAAACATACTTCATACAAAGCAAACAGAGTTCTGTTTGAATGCCAAAATAATATTGCCTTAAACCTTCTCATGAATTGTTGGAGATAGAATCCAGGGCACTTCCTTAGTGTTGTAGACTATCACTGAATTATCTTTATCTCAGAGCTTCTTCCACAGGTAGTCTTCTTAAGCTTAATTCAGTGGTTTTCAACCTTACCAATGCTGAAACACATCAACACAATTCCTTATGCTGTGGTGATCTGCAATCATAAAATTATTTCATTGCTACTTCACAACCATAATTTTGTGACTGTTATGAATTGTAATATAAATATCTGATATGTAGTATATCAGATATGTGCCTCCCAACGGGGTTGAAACTCACAGGTTGAGAATCACTGGTCCAATTATTTAGACATGATAATATCAGTAAGCATTTTTTCATGTGACTTGCTCATCACCGTGTTGATATATTCACAGAGATTCAAGAGGGTGTTGGATCTCCTAGCACTGGTGTTAGAGACAGTTGCCAGCTGAAAATCCAACCCTGGGACCTCTGGAAATACACCATGTGTATTTCATGACTGAGCTACCTCTCCAGCTCCACATTTATATTAGTATTTATTTTTTAAAAATCTAAAGATAGTTCTTTACTTTTGGAAAATCAGAAATATTGACATGACTACTCCTTTTTATAATTACAAACACCTAAAATTGTATATTCTCAGGCTGCTTTAAAAATGTAAAATCCTTGTATATTCTGGACTCTAATTTCAGGTTGAGTCCTATGTCACAGACTGCATCTCTGTTTCCTTTCTTCATCCATATTCTTGGGTCTCCAGTATTTGTCTGTCAGTATACAACAAGAACTCCATCCTATTGGTGTTCCTGGTGTGCTTATGATCCTCTTAGCTCCACCAGCAAATAACACATTCAACAACTGCCACCATATCAGCAAGGGATACATTCTGCCTCAAGGCACACTGTAAGGCTGCCAAGCAGAGCTCACGAGGAAGATGAATCACAGGTAAGGATGATTTTCTATCAAAATTAAGTAATGTCTTAGTTAGGCTTTCATTACTGTGAACATAAACAATGACCACGGCAACTCTTATAAGGACAACATTTAATTGGGGCAGGCTTTCAGGTTCAGAGGTTCAGTCCATCATCATCAATGCAGGACCACAGCAGCATAGGCAGGCATGGTGCAGAAGGAGCTCCAAGTCCCACCTCTTGTTCAGAAGGCACCTAGCAGAAGCCTGGCTTCCGCATGGTTAAGAGAAGGATCTTAAAGCACACGCCCACAGTGACACACTTCCTCCACAAGGCCACAGCTACAAATAGTGCCACTTCCTGCGCCAAGCATATTCAAACTACCACAATAAGCAACCTTAATTTTGATGGATGAAAACTAGTGACTGTTTATAGACACCTGCTAGAAGACTGTTGATCAATAGTCCTTTCAGAAGCTATTATCTGTTTTGTATTCAAAAGCAAGACCTCAGTAAACAAAAGTTAGAGTTATGGACAAAAAATATTGAGAAAAGCAAAGGTAATCAAACTATTCGTTTATGTTTATATCCAATAATTCCAACCTTCCAAGTTTGAAATGGCACCAAAACGGAAGCAAGACTAAATGCAGTTATGTTCTGAACCCTTCAAGGAATCTCTCAAGGAATATAATCCAGGGATTTTTCAGTCTGAAAATAGTACACGTCACTCTCTAATCTTGAAACATGGCAGCGAAGAAAGGAGGAGGGTAACATTAGTAAACATGAGGAGATGCAAACGAGTGTATGCCAGGTTCAGACTGAGCCTCGTTATTGTGCGGGGCTTCCTCTCTTCCTGGCACAATGGAATGGTGCATTGACATGCTTATAATTTGTTGCCTAGTTTTGGATTTAAACTCTTTTCCAGAGTTGCTTGATTTCCTGTGTGCTCCTTTAGCAGGACCTGGGAGCATCGTTTTTCGTCACAGCTACTGGTGTATTGGTGCCTGAAAGTGCGGCCTGAATTTGGGTCTCACTCACACCCCTGTATGTTTCCTTGGGGTCATATTTTATTTCGTGACCACACTTCATCAGAGACGCAGAGATAGAATCAAAATCAGAGAGAGGAGAGAGAGAGAGAGAGAGAGAGAGAGAGAGAGAGAGAGAGAGAGAGGCTTCTGAATTTAAACTTTGGTCAATCATGTCTTTGAGAATATTGTCTGTTCTGCTGTTTGCCTACAGTGTTTTCAATTTGATAAGAGAAGGATCTTTAGTTCATCTGCATCTATTTACTTTTTAGTGATCCCTGTGTTGCCGTGGATCATAACATGATCTCTGACCACACATATTGGAATTTGCTCCCTAAGCTCTGGGAATCAATATTGTAAGGTAGGATTGGAGGGAAAACATCCAAGCTAATGATTTAAAAGTGCTCAGACTGCCCCAGAGAAAGCATGCTGTTGTATACAGATTATGTCATCATGCTCACTGATCACAGTGAGGAATGAGACTGTGTACGCAAAGATAGAATTGTCCACCCAGGTGTGGACATTACCAACTCATATATCTAAGTACTCACTGAACTACAACCATAAAAAGTTCTCAGCATCTGTGGATACAGATTTTTAAAATCATATTAAGTTGCCATTTGATTTTTAAAAAATTAAACAACAAGAAGATATGGAAAGTCAGCTTAGCAGTAATGGAAAATAGGAAGATTTGTTACAATTGGGATAAGAAATGATCTTTGGGATAAAATTTAATGAGACAGACAGATCACACATTGCATATTTAATAATTGATAGGCTGTGAAATCCTTGTTTTATTTTCAACTTTTTGAGACTTTAATATAATTACAGAGTTTTCCCCTTGCTTTCCTCTCTTTAAACACTGCCAGTTACCCCTTCTTGCTGTCTTTCAAATGTTGTGGCCTCTTTCCAAAATACGTTATTATATATACACTCATATAGACACAGAGACACACACCGACATAGACACAATCACACACACACACACACACACACACACACACACACACACACTCCTAAATGCATAAATACAACATGCTAAGCTTCTATAGATACTGGAAAGCATATGTTGATGATCACATTAGAAGTCCTGATTCAGATGCTATTATAGACCTATGATAAGTTTTAAGCCTTTAATGAAATTGTTTCATTAAACATATTAAAAGCATCTTGTGTTGAAGACCATGAAATATACTACATGATACTATGCACCCCTTAATGCAAAGATATAAGCTCCTTTTTATCATCTAATGTGTGTGTGTATGTGCATATATATGTAATATAAGTGGAACAAATAAAATATACTATAGTTAAAGCAAAACGCCTTCATAAAAATGTGATTTTATCAGAAAAATACAGCCAAAAATAAAGTCAACATATAAGTCTTGAATGTCACAGTTGGTTTTGTTTTTTGTTTTGTTTTGTTTTGTTTTTGTTTTTTTGTTTTGGATTTTTGTCTAGAAATGTCTGGGTTGACTTTTCATGAACACTTATTAGTAGGTTTTTGAGAGGACAAGTTTCAGCTCTGCAGACTTTTCCCAGACCTAGACTGAAGAAGAAAGTGCAGATCAAAAGAAACAAATAGCTTAGCGATTTGACTGGATCAAAATGATTGTCAAAGGGATAAAAGAAATAAAGATATGGAAAAAGTTTTAGGTTGGCTCCTTATCTAATGATGAGTCCAAGATGATACATATAGACTATAGATCTGAGATCTGCTGCCCATTGGTGACAGTACATCAAGGGAGTCACAGTGTTCACCTCAGGCATCATTTGTCCATTCCGTAGTCACTTAGGTGATGATTACAATTCTTTCCAGTCAATTGACCAACAGATGCCTCTCTTGTTTTGACTCTGCTTCATTCTTTCTCTGAGCTCTTGTCCCTTCATGTTGAGTTCCATAGCAATGTATTTAATAAGAGACCATGAAAATTTTAGGTGTTTGCTTCTGAATATGTCATTTTGTGAAATGTCTAGGCATTTCTCTCCTCTCCTCTCCTCTCCTCTCCTCTCCTCTCCTCTCCTCTCCTC